TGGCGTGAATCCCGCTGGGACTAATCATTAATAAAACATGCAAAGTGACTATATATCAGATCTCAAAATGAAATCATGACTTTAAAAAAATAAGAAAGTGGTTTCATTTGGTTCTATTTAGTCTCATTCTTAGTATAAAGTTACTATTTTTAGACATTTTAAGGTTTTCTTTAGACTATTTTTAATTTTTAAAAAAGTAATGCTTTTTGATAACACTCAAATAAGATTTAAAGTCATTTAAAGCAATAAAAATAATTTAAATTGAGAAGTGAAAATCATGGTCTCATTTGAAAAATGTGACAAAAGTAGACAGTAAGTCTCACTGAGACAGTATGAGACTACTATCTAATGTTAAAACTGTGTAATGAGATCAGTCGAATTGGTAATGAGATCAGTCGAATTGGTAATGAGACTATCAAAAATTCTGGTCCTGGTCTCAGACATGATCACACGGTCAGTCTATGTCTGATTCTCTAAAAGATTGAAGATGAGTGTATATCTCTATATATACAGTGATTGGTTATAGAGATTAACTCTTATAGAAGAGGTGATTATATATAAAGAAAAGAACAGAGACTCTGTAGAGAATAGACTAGCCGCCGGGACTATGAATTTCACATATGATCTCATTTGATCTGGTCTCATACATTTCTTGGCATGAATCCCGCTGGGACCATTCATTAAAAAAACATGCAAAGTGACTATATATGAGATCTTAAAATGAAATCATGACTTGAAAAAAATGAGAAAGTGATCTCATTTAATCTCATTTAGTTTCATTCTTGGCATGAAGTTACTATTTTTAGACATTTTAAGGTTTTTTTTAGACTATTTTTAATTTTTTAAAAAGTAACACTTTTTGATAACACTCAAATGAGATTTAAAGTCATTTAAAGCAATAAAAATAATTTAAATTGAGAAGTGAAAATCATGGTCTCATTTGAAAAATGTGACAAAAGTAGACAGTAAGTCTCACTGAGACAGTATGAGACTACTATCTAATGCTAAAACCGTGTAATGAGATCAGTTGAATTGATAATGAGACTATCAAAAAATCTGGTCCTGGTCTCAGACACGGTCACACGGTCAGTCTAGTAGAGAAGATAGAAGCAGAAGCTTCAAAAAACAGTAAGAAAAGAACAGAGACTCTGTAGAGAAGAAGTGAAAGCTCTCTGTAGAGAAGGTAGAAGTAAAAGCTCTGAGAAACAGCAAGAAGTGAAAGCTCTCTGTAGAGAAGATAGAAGTGAAAGCTTCAGAAAACAGTAAGAGATGAAGCGGAAGCTAGAGTTGAATAGAGAATTAACTTGAATAGAGGGCGTAAGCACGCTACACTGTGTCTATGCTTGTGTTCAAGAGTTCTCTCATATTATCAGTGAACATGATTATATTGTTTATTAAGTATGTAATAACTGTGAAATTGAAAGAAGTATAATTGTATAAATATCTCATATATCTAGAGTGTCAGAACTCTCAGGTCTTTAACTAATATTCTCTTTATAAGATCTTGTTATAGAGTCAGAGTGATTGATAAGCAAGCTTCTATCTAGAGACTTAATATCTGCTTAACTGATTAAGACTCAGTGTCTGCTTAACTAATTGGTCATTTTCTCTTTTTCTTACGCATTGTTACATATTCAGATACCTTGATAGATAATTATTTCTAATGAGAAGATGATAAATTGTGAATAATCATTTCTAATGAGAAGATGATGAATATTTTTCAAGTATAAGAAGTCTACACTGAATTAGACTGGCCGGCGGGACCATGAATTTCACATTTGATCCCATTTGATCTGGTCTCATACATTTCTTGGCGTGAGTCCCACCAGGACCAAGCCTCAAAAAAATCTGAAAATGGACCATTTCTGAGAGAAATGGCATGAAAAATGACCAGATTTAATTCAAGAACAGTGAAATGAGAGTAATTTCTCAGAATAAACTGTGAAAGATGATCATTCTTTCAAAATCAGAATGGGACTGAGACTGAAGATCAAAATCAGTCCCATTCAGTTCATTCAGTGATTGCTTATATAATCAGAATTTGGTAACAATTATTGATAACACTCATGAAACAACTAAATACATTCTTGTGCAAGTTTATTCTTCACTTTCTCATGAAAACTACACTTCTCTGATATACTGTGATCAGAGGTATTAAACTGTCTGATAATTCCATGTTTTACAATCATGAGTTTCTTGATTGTTTCTCCTTGTAATTGTCCCTGATGATAGTGACAAATATCTCAACTTGAGTTGAACTTTCACTTCATTCCCACCCCTGTCAATGGAATTGCCAGAATATCACGCGCTATCAGTACAACAGTTGAATATGTACTCTCAACAATTTTTCATAACTCTAGAATTGATTTGGTGCGTAAATTTGTCAAATCATCTTGAAGATAGTGATCAAATTCAGTTTTATAAGCATGTAGTTTTGCCTGATTTTCAGTTGCAATCAATGTATGCAAGTCCTGTTTCAAAGTTAGTATTATAGTTCTATGTGATATGAAGTGTTACTAAAGATTGTTACTTACTAGGGAATTGTATTCCACTGTCTCCACATCTTGAACATCTGCTCATTCAAATCTCTGATAGTTGGCATTGTAGTAGTCTTGGGCTAATTTGACATATGAGTCTCGTTCCTCCTCTGTTCAATCTTGAGAAGTGTAGGTATTAACTCAATGGGAGGGATCTAGTAGAGCTGCTACAGCATAGTACTCTGCAAAAGATTGTTCAGTTTTGCTGTAGTAATATGCCAGTTTATCTCTTACAGCAATAATAGCCTGCGCTATAGCATCATCCCAGACTGAATTTCTTTTTGAGTGATTCAACTGCTTCTCAAGATGAGTAAATAAACTGTTATACACTCACCAGACTGACTGCAGCATTGGTGTATGAGTGATTGAGACTGTCTTTGTTGTCTTATAAAACTGAAACAGTAAATCAATCACATATTTCAACTGAGTTCACTTCATATCAGAAAGTTTCAATATCTGAATCTTTTCTCAATCAGAGTGTTGCACTCAATGATCAATCATCTGATGCAATTGAAGAGTCTGAACAGTCATCTCATATGTTGAACTTCACTGTGTTCTAACATCCTGTATCATATTCAGTGATGTGACTGATTTGTTTGTTTGTTGAATATCATGGAATTGTTGTTGTTGTTTAGAGAAGGTACAAATTGCATTAGCAATGTTTCAAATCTGTGATATTTAAATTATTAGTCAATCTATTCAAAATTAACAGTAGCATTATCAAAAAGCATTATCAAAAAGCAATATTAAAAAGTGTTGTCAAAAAACATTATCTTTTGCAAAGTGAATGCAAAAGTTACTTGAGTAATCACTTCCATCTCATTCTCATCCCAAGAACCAGTCATCTCATTATTCTTCACCTCAATGTTAAGATTCTTTACCAGTGTTTGCACCACAAGTTGAACCACATGAGCAATGCAGGGGATATGACCTTGTTTACTATTCCAGGAATGCAAAGCCAATTTTTGCTCCAAGCTCTTCATCATAGTGTAGTTATTCGCAGCATTGTCAGTTGTAATTGCAAGAAGACTGAGACTAATATCTCAATAGTCATTTTTAATCACAGTCATTAATACCTCTGTCATATAATCCCCAGTATGACTACTGATCAATGATTCAAATTCAATTAATGTCTCTTGATAAGTCCAGTTCTCATCAATGTAATAACATGTAACTCTCATAAATGCAAGATTGTTTGTACTAGTTCATGCATTCACTGTGAGAGACACTCTTCAATGATTCTTCAACTCTGATTCTAGATGTTGCATATTGACTTTGTAGTGTGTCTCGAGGTTGAACTGAAGACAGAATTGATGTGGAATATGAAGATTTGAATTAAGCATTTGAAGAAGTGTTCAGAATTCGGGGTTTTCAATTGATCAAAGAGGAAGATTCAGAGATATACACATGTGAAGTAATTGTTCATGAAAGTTATCAGGTGAGAGTTGTGGAATCAGAGTACTGATACATGGTCATTTTCACATGATTTCCTTCAAATTAGAAAGTTAGTGTTATCAAAAATCATTATCTGATAGAGCAACTTACCAGCTCAGTAGTAATTTTCTGATTATTTTCCTTTTGTTGTCTGCATTCTGATGACTTCAGATGTCAGGAAATTTCTTCAGAGTCATGATCAGTTCATGATGAATGTTTCTGAATGAAGTTGCAGTGATTGCAGCAGAGAGATGACTCTTCAGTAATCTGCAATGCAACCTGTTGATAATTATTCCATAGTTCATCTCAGTATTTATGTTGAGTTTTTCATAAATTTCATGACCTGGAATCAGATGTGAAGAATGAAGTGATCATTCATTATAATTGAAAGAGAGCATTCTGTATTAAATTGTAAACAATATAGACTTTGTGATTCACAGTGATTTCTTGAAGAGTTTGTGAATCTTCAATAGAAGTAAAAGAAGTGAAAGAAGTGAATTCAGAAGACATGATAATAATTTGAGAAAGATGATAATTTATTTTCAATAACTAATCACTGATGTGTGTAAGAAGAATTAATATAAGAGAAAATAATCTTGTTTCTTAGCTTAGTTATAATTTTAGTACTAACTCAGATTAGATATCATTGATGTATAAAAGTAAATAAACAATCTTGATTAATCTCTGTCATATTTCTTGAAATATATTAATATTGTGAAAGAGAGCATTATCAAATTACATTACCAGATGATATCATTAAAAATATATTAATATTGTGAATATCAATGTTGAAAAAATGTTGATACTTATACATTATAGTGATTTGTGAATCATGATAGTTAAATATATATATATATATATATATTATTCCTGACTTGATTACAACTTGTACAATAATTTTTAAAAACTCAAAATTAATTTCAATTATTAATAATTATGAACTTACAACTAACTAATATAAAAAGAAAAAAACTTTTTCTACTCATCATCTTTCTGCTCTTTCTCATTCTTCTTATCATTCTCTACAATTCACTTCTCATTCTTCTTCTCCTTCTCCTCCTCCTCATCTGAGGTGATAACCACCTCAAAATCTCCCTCTGCTGCCTTCTCAGAGAAGGGTTCCCACTGCTCCCCCTCAGCCAGGTCAACCTGCACCTCAAAATCCCGCATTTCCTGGTCTGCTGCCTCGGGTTCCACCCCAGCAGCAAGCAGATTGGCATGCTCAGAGAGCAGGGCTGCCTCCTCAATGTTCTGGATCATGGAGCGCATTCGAGACCTGAACAAGGCCTCAATTCCCTCCTCCTCTGCCAGCTCCTGCTAATCAATTAGAGAACAGAAGTGTTATCAAAAATCATTATCTCTCAATAAATAAAAAACTTACCAGTTTTGACTTCTTTATCTTCTGCTTCAACACTCTCTCAATCTTCTTCTGCTGCTGCTTATTTGCAGTAACACTCTTCTCATCTCTCTCTCTCTTCACCTTGATCTCAAATCATTCTCAGAACTTCTCCTGGTCTCACTGCTGCTGCATGAGGCTCTTCACTGTCTTCTTCTTCAATCTCTCACAGGCGGTGCCATTCACATTATTTCTATACTTAGTTCAGTCTAAATCTATCAGAAGTGTTACTTAAAATTGTTATCATTCTGCTCTCTTGCAGAGCCTCTTCAAGGCATTATAATGTGTCTTGCAATCTGTCTCCTCTCACTTGAACATCTTCTTCTTCTCTTCCTTCAATCTGTGACAGTGCTCACGCGCCTTGGTGGTCCGCAGGACCGCAGAATATTTGAAGAGAGATGACATGATTGGTTTCGGTGAGCATTGAAGAGGGGTGAAGGCAGGAGAGGCGGCTAGAAATGATATGATGATGGTGATAATGATGATGATGATAATGGTAATGATGATGGTGATAGTGATGATGATGATGATGATGATGATAATGATAATGATGATGAAAGAAAGAGTGCATTGAAATATATTACTGACTTACCAAATATAAAGAGACTCAAAGAAAATATTAACAGCTTTCAGCAATGTACAGAAACAGCTACAGTGTTGCATGGCAACATCATCTTCATTCAATACATGCACTGTTGATATTCTTTGTATACAGTTATTATATAATCTGTATCAGAGATACATGCAGAAAACAGATCTTTATTGCTAGGACAAATGATTGCAGCAATTCTCTGTTTTCATATCATAAAGATAAGTTGTTCTCATTTCTTTCTTCTCTCTTTTCTCTTCTTCAATCAACCACTAATTCCAAGCTGGTATGAAAACTATTAAAACACTCTCAGAAACCCTCAAATTGAAGAGTATAGACTAATCAAATTTCAAATGCAGAAGAAACCAAATTACCTTCTACAGATTCAATTACTCACCCTCCCTCAAATAAAACAGCAGTCGTGTCCCCCCCCCCCCCCAACCAAATGAAACATGGCCCGCGAAAAGCGAGTACCACGCCAGGCCATAATGGCCAACACAGCCCCAGCACGCAGGGCTGCATATGCGCAGCGTGTGCTGGACTGGGAGGCTGTGTGAGTTGCAAACCGGTGGCAGCATCCCAGGGAGAGCCGTGCGGCGTGGGAAAGCCGCAACCCTCAGCCATGTGCGCAGAGGGTGGATCGCCGCAGTAAGTGCATGTGCATTGAAGTAACACTTTTTGGTAACACTCAGTCTCTGATATGATGAAAATAGAGTCTCTCCATGAGATCTGTTTTTATCAGAAGTCAGAGAATCTTATATTCCTCAAGGCCACCTTCACGCGCCTTGTCTGTGAAATCAATGGAGGGAATCATCGATTCCAGTGTTCTGCCCTTGATGCCATTCAAGTGACAGCAGAGTCCACCCTGGTCACACTTTTTGAGTGTATGTTTTCTAATTATTCACATTTATATAGATATATACTGATTATTTATTAGGTGGTGTTAAGGCAATGGCTCATCGCGGCCGTGTTACTCTCACTGTGAGGGATACACAGTTGATGATGAACATTGTGAAGACTCTGAAGAGTGAATATTTTGAGAATGCTGCAGCTCTGTGACCTTGATTTTTTTTTGTTTTTGTTTTTTGTTTTTTTCTTTTCCTTTTCTTTTTTTTTTTTTGTTGTGATTTTTTCTTGTTGTTTTGTTTTTTGTTTTTTTGTTATTTTTTGTATTTTATATTTTTTTTTTAATTAAAATGATATTAATTATGATCTGTGTTCAGAAAAGTAATAATATTTGATAACACTCTCTGTTGAATTTTCAACAAATGAGCACTATGTTATGATATTATGTAAGTGAGAAATGATTTCATGATCTCATTTGATACCATTTTCAATAATGAGATCAGAATGAAAATGTGACTAAGAATTCAAACATATTCTTTATCTGAGACTAGATTTTTATTTGAAAAGTGAATCTGGGACCTTTAATATCTGAAATAACGTGATTTGGAATCAATGTGATGAACACAAACCATGATCAGAAGTAATGCTTTTAGGCAACGTGACAACTGTAAAGTTTGATCCTGGTTCCAGACACGGTCACACGGTCAGTCTACACTGAATAGATCAGTATAATATTTATAGATCTTATATAACAAAGTGAAAAACATTAGAAAAGAAAAAGAGAGAGAAAGTGCAGAAATCAGTGATTAGAGTGAATATTTATATACATACACAGTAAAGCTTCAGAGTGAAAGAATAGGAATTTCATGAGTTTTCAGCTGAGAATTGATCTCTGAGAATTGAAGCTTTGGCAGAGAATTAGCAATCAAGAATCAAAGCCTCAGTAGAAATCTGTGAAGTGTAATGAAATAGTCTATATAATTAATCAGGCGTAGCCTGTCACATGATCACTTCATTCTCATGACAGTTAATAATCTCACTTATACAATTCATGCTAATAATAAGTCTGTTATAGAGCTATTCTCTTCTGAAGCAATTTCACACTGCTTGAAGTATATAGAGATCTGTTGTCACATTTTTCATAATCTTATCTGCAAGAATAAGATATCTATTCAATATGTTTCATCTGCTGAGAACGCGGTAGATTAGCTTACTAAATCACTTGAAATAATGAAAGATATATATTGAAAGGAGAATATTAAGATGAAGAAGATAGAGAAATAGAGGGATAAAAAATGATGAATCTCATGACTGGTTTTTCATTACTACACATTTTTCAGTCATTTTTTATACCTATACTTGATTTGAAGGTGAATTTTGTATGTAGCATCATATACAGTTACTCTGATGAGTGAGAGTGTCAGATCACGTGATCTGGCTTACTAATTCTTTCATTATATAACTTCTTACAAGCTAGCAACCTTTCAATTATATAAGGTTTACATTTTTCACAACTAGACTGGCTGCCAGAACTATGAATTTCACATTTAATCTCATTTGATCTAGTCTCATACATTTCTTGGCGTGAATCCCGCTGGGACTAGCCATCAAAAAAACATGCAAAGTGACTATATATCAGATCTTAAAATGAAACCATGACTTGAAAAAAATGAGAAAGTGATTTCATTTGATCTCATTTAGTCTCATTCTTGACATAAAGTTACTATTTTTAGACATTTTAAGGTTTTTTTTAGACTATTTTTAATTTTTTAAAAAGTAACACTTTTTGATAACACTCAAATGAGATTTAAAGTTATTTAAAGCAATAAAAATAATTTAAATTGAGAAGTGAAAATCATGATCTCATTTGAAAAATGTAACAAGAGTAGACAGTAAGTCTCACTGAGACAGTATAGAACTACTATCTAATGTTAAAACTGTGTAATGAGATCAGTCAAATTGATAATAAGACTATCAAAAAATCTGATCCTGGTCTCAGACACGGTCACACGGTCAGTCTATTCACAACATCATCATACATTATTGAAGTTAAATACTGCTTATTCATAAGATCTTGGCAAAAGACACAAGTATGACTGCTCAATTCACTGAACACCTGGCCTTTTTCATCTGTACTTTGTAAAAAGTAGCTGTATTATTAGTACAGATACTCTGCTCACTGAACAGTCATGATATTAGAGCTGTACTTTTCAAAAAAAAGTGAAGATCTGTACAAAAAGAACGAGTACACACGGCCGCACTGAACAGGCTCTCAGTCTAATTTTATCACAGCTATAATGAAATCTTAATAAGATTGTCAAAGGTTCTCTTATTCAAGCAGAATTGAATGCTCATCATGAGATAGAAATTGAATGTCACTTGCAGACAGCCAAACATCTTCAAATGAAAAATACACATTATCAAGTACACAGTATAGAAGGTATAAAGATGAATAAGAATATCAATCAGCAGATTGAAGCTCATCGGGTAAAGAAGATTCAAAAGGATTGAAGATGTATTAATCATTAACATTGCGTAGATATGGCACATCAGGCTGCACAGACTCAAGAAATCCGTGAGACAGATCAAGAGGTTATAAATATTGAATTAATAGATATGAGAGATGCAGAGGACCTTTTTTTTTATAGATAAAGAGAAGAATTCTAATATATCAAGACATTGAAGTTACAAATATATTCATTCTTGATGAAAAGTAACATTGCAGTGATAATGACATTGTGATGAGAGGCACTCACTCACGGATGTGATGATGGGTTTTTAGCGTAGGAACGTGTACAATTCAGTTTACGAAATTAACCGTGCCATGCTTACCCACTCTCTCTAGTGAGTGCGCCACAGTGTACGGATTCTACGGAAAACCACACTGTATAGAAAATATTTTCAATATCTTCATTCTTCATCTTCAAATAATTATTATTAATTATAATCATGCCTAAATCTTCTAATTACACTGAGAAGCAGTTGAAAAGAGCTGTTAACACATATAAAAGCAATTCAAAATTAAAAATCATGTCTCTGTCATGAGAATTCAAAGTCTCATATATCATCTTGTATGAGAGAATCAACAGAAAGAAATCAAGAACTATGAGAGTTTCACTGAATTGAGCATTGAATAACAGTCAGAAAGAGATAATTAAAATATAAATTCATCAGTTGAATATTAATTTTTGCCTGTTCATTATCAAGTATATCAAAGCTGCTGTGAACTGCATGTTAAGACAGCATTATACAGATTCAGAGACTGCACCTTTCACAGTAAGTAAGATATGAGTATATTAATTCATCAAACACCTGTCAGATTATAAATGAGTCAAGCAAAAGCTCATGAATTCAAAATGAGTGTCTTGTGAGAATATAAGCTTTATTATCAACTGATTTAATTGATATGAAGCTGTCTTCAATCAATATTATTTTTTTCACTGTGATATCTACAACTTTGATGAGATTGAATTTCAAGAAGAAGAAGAATGTGAACAGTGAGTTATAACTGTCTTTAAAGATATGAATTCTGTCATACAGTTATCATACTCTCGTGGATTAATAACAGTAATGAAGTATGTTAGTACAGATAACACAGTATTAAATTCATTGATTATAATAAAATCAAAGATTCATCTAGAGAATTAGTATACATACTTCAACTTATCTGATAACTACATTATCACTGCATCTGAGTCTGGCTTTACAAATGATAAGATTGAATTTAAATAGATCAAGTGATTCAATAAGATGATAAAAAAGTGTCAAATGAACAGTCATCAACTGCTATTAATGAATAATCATGATTCTTATCTTACAGAAGAATTCATTCAATACTGTGATCTTTATAAGATTATTTTGTTTAAATTCTTATCTTATATAAGTCATATTCTACAATCTCTTGATGATGTATTTTTTCAGCAGTATAAGCATTATTATACAAAGACAGTTAATGAGGTCATCTGCTATGAATATGAGCAGTATAATGACAGACAATTCCTTGCTAATCTGAAGAGTGTTTGACTGTAAGCATTCAAACCTGACACTGTGAGAGCTGGCTTTATCAACCATGAAATGTATCCAGTTAATCATGATATAATTCTCAATCAATTAAGACCTCTTATCATTGATGATGCTCTGAATCTCAACATATACAATGATAATGATGATGTGTGTAATCACTTTATCTCATCATCTGCAGATTAATCATCAACTGTCTTCTTATAATTAATCTTCTCAGAGACAGTTGCAAAACTATGTCATCAAATCAATACAGCAGTCAAGATCTTAGAAGATATGAAGAATACCCTTACACCTGGTTTGACAAGATGATTGAACAAGATCTTCAAGAGTAGCATGATTCAGGCAGAATTGAATATGCACTGTAAGAGTGAACTTGCAGATCATTATTGAGCAAATAGATGTCAGGTTGTCAAATCCTCTTACAGGTAGATGCAAGTAGATGAAGTCCTCACTATTAAGAATGCCAATTGCAAGATTATAATCTGTAGAGCAGATGAGATGAAAAAGATGTTCAATAAGAATCTTCAATTGATTGAAATCAAATCTACAAAATCTACAGTCACTCAATCATAATAAGATAATTCTATAGAATCTCAATCTACAGTGGATTCTACACCTTCTAATGAGTATATAGATAATCTTTATATTATAGATAGATGTGGTGATGATTATTAATTAATTTTTGAAGATCACTATATTCAAAATATTTTCTGTACAGTGTGGTTTTCTGTACACTGTGGCGCACTCACTAGAGAGAGTGAGTAAGCATGGCACGGTTATTGGTTGGTGCTTCAGAGCTAGCTAACAGCTTAGTTAGTTAGTGGTTCCCAGACGCGGGGATAAGAGCTTGTACAAGGTTAAACGTGCAACCGAACAACGCCTTAAGTGAGTGGTGAGAATAGGGGTAAGGAGATCCGCGAGGAGCGGGATTTCTTCCAGGGGCGGGCACATACATCTCCACAGTGGATATGAAGATAGATAGATCAAGACGATCGATGGATGAGAAAGTTGGAGCAAGCATGTGAGAGAAACCACAGGATGGGATGGTGAATCTGTACTCCGTACTCCGTAGCGTAGTGTAGCCAACAAACTAGATTGCACTTCTGAGCTAGTTAACAGCTTATTAGTTGGTTAACTAGTTACACTAGTTAGTTAATGATATTGCGCTACTTGTGCCTCGCGGCCAGACC